ATTACAACTGTATGAACAGTGATAGGAAACTTACTCATTACACCTGGGAGACAAACACGGTGAAAGTAAGGGAGAGATGACTTCCTGTTAAAATGTTAATACTGGTTATACGAAGATGTCTGATGAAACAAGAGAGGTAGCTTTCAACTTTAAATAGGTGGATCACTTGAACGGAAAGCATCCATACCTATGTTAATTGTACAATCATGCTTAACATTTTGATCACTATGAAATGTGCTTAAATGATATCAACTGAGTGAATGATGAACAGGTACATTGTTTATCAAACAAAATATTAAGAAAAAGAACAAAAATAATGTCTGGCATCACTTTATACTCCTCTTTTGTTTGTGAATGATAAAACCCGTTCCTATAAACTTTAAAGGAGGTTGACAGGGAAACAATACCACTATCTTGTGACTGGTACGAAATACCTGATGACCTGGAACACAATATCTCATGATCTGTGCACAATATCTGATGACAAGATATAAAATATGTTGATCAGATACACAATATCTGATGACCAATTACACAATATCTGATGACCAGGTATAAAACATATGATGACTAGATACACAATTACTGATGACCAAATACACATTACCTGTGGCCTGGTGCACAATATCTGATAACTAGGTACAAAACATATGTTGACCAGATATATGATGACAATGTCAAATATATGATGACCTGGTGCACAATATCTGATGGCCAGGTAAAACAAATATATGATGACCAGATACACAATATCTAATGACTGGTGCGCAATATCTGATGGCCAGGTAAAACAAATATATGATGACCTGGTGCACAATATCTGATGGCCAGGTAAAACAAATATATGATGACCTGGTGCACAATATCTGATGGCCAGGTAAAACAAATATATGATGACCTGGTGCACAATATCTGATGGCCAGGTAAAACAAATATATGATGACCTGGTGCACAATATCTGATGGCCAGGTAAAACAAATATATGATGACCTGGTGCACAATATCTGATGGCCAGGTAAAACAAATATATGATGACCTGGTGCACAATATCTGATGGCCAGGTAAAACAAATATATGATGACCTGGTGCACAATATCTGATGGCCAGGTAAAACAAATATATGATGACCTGGTGCACAATATCTGATGACTAATACAAAAACCTTATGACAAGGTTTACAATATCTAATGCCCAAGTGTACAATATCTCATCAGTCACAAGCAATGCTTGTTATACTATATAGACGTTTCCTGAATCAATAATTATTTGCTGTTTATCAGCATGTATCAACACATAAGGTGGAACCAACTGACCATAGTGTACCATTAAAGTTGTTAAAAAAGATCTAGTGAAAAGAATTTGAAAAATATGGAACTGAAACCAGATGAACAGTATCAATATTGACCAGGTATACAATGCATTGTGACCAAACCCACAATACAAGGTGACAAGGTACACAATATCTGGTGACAAGGTAAACAATATCTGGTGACAAAGTGCAAAACACATGGTGACCAAATACACTACACAATGTGACCAGGTCCACAATATTTGATGACCAAATAAACAATCTCTAGTGACCAAAACACAATTCTTGGTGACTAGTTACACAATATCTTGTGAACATATACACCATACACGGTAACCAGGTACACAATATTATGTGACCAAATACACCATACATGGTAACCAGGTACACAATATCATGTGACCAAACACAACATACATGGTGACCAGGTACACAATATCATGTGACCAAATAAACCATACATGGTAACCAGGTACACAATATCATGTGACCAAACACACCATACATGGTAACCAGGTACACAATATCATGGGACCAAATAAACCATACATGGTAACCAGGTACACAATATCATGTGACCAAACACACCATACATGGTAACCAGGTACACAATATCATGTGACCAAACACACCATACATGGTAACCAGGTACACAATATCATGTGACCAAATAAACCATACATGGTAACCAGGTACACAATATCATATGACCAAATACACCATACATGGTAACCAGGTACACAATATCATGTGACCAAATAAACCATACATGGTAACCAGGTACACATCATGTGACCAAACACACCATACATGGTAACCAGGTACACAATATCATATGACCAAATAAACCATACATGGTAACCAGGTACACAATATCATGTGACCAAACACAACATACATGGTGACCAGGTACACAATATCATGCGACCAAATAAACCATACATGGTAACCAGGTACACAATATCATGTGACCAAACACACCATACATGGTAACCAGGTACACAATATCATGGGACCAAATAAACCATACATGGTAACCAGGTACACAATATCATGTGACCAAACACACCATACATGGTAACCAGGTACACAATATCATGTGACCAAATAAACCATACATGGTAACCAGGTACACAATATCATATGACCAAATACACCATACATGGTAACCAGGTACACAATATCATGTGACCAAATAAACCATACATGGTAACCAGGTACACAATATCATGTGACCAAACACACCATACATGGTAACCAGGTACACAATATCATATGACCAAATAAACCATACATGGTAACCAGGTACACAATATCATGTGACCAAATACACCATACATGGCGACCAGGTACACAATATCATGTGACCAAATAAATCATACATGATAACCAGGTACATTGTAAATGAAAGTAATGAAGTGTGTTTATGTTAACGGATGTATTCATCACTGTTAAGTTATGAAGTTGGTGAAATAAAGTCAGTGCCATGATTGAATGTGATTCGATGATTCTATGATTTCAAAGTTATAAAGATCATTTCAAAACAAGAAAAACACAATAAGTTAATAACAATCATAAAGCTCATGACTTTGTGTTGAATTTCTTTGGAATCGTCGAAGACAGCAGGTTGTCTTGGAAGGGGTGAGAAGGGCTCATAAAACTATCACTACCATACAAAAACACAAATCCAAAATCAAAATACAAGCTATGTGTTGGACTCAAGGTCAGACTAGCCTCAGTTACAGTAAGTCAGACTAGCCATGGGCGTTGTTCGAGTCAAACAAGCCATAGGTGTCGTTCCAGTCAGACTAGCCATGGGCATTGTTCTAGTCAAACAAGCCATAGGTGTCATTCTAGTCAAACAAGCCATGGGCATTGTTCTAGTCAAACAAGCCATGGGCATTGTTCTAGTCAAACAAGCCATAGGTGTCATTCTAGTCAAACAAGCCATGGGCATTGTTCTAGTCAAACAAGCCATAGGTGTCATTCTAGTCAAACAAGCCATGGGCATTGTTCTAGTCAAACAAGCCATAGGTGTCATTCTAGTCAAACAAGCCATGGGCATTGTTCTAGTCAAACAAGCCACGGGTGTTGTTCTAGTCAAACAAGCCATAGGTGTCATTCTAGTCAAACAAGCCATGGGCATTGTTCTAGTCAAACAAGCCATAGGTGTCATTCTAGTCAAACAAGCCACGGGTGTTGTTCTAGTCAGACTAGCCAGGAGTTGTGGTAGTCAAATAATTCTTAGGAACTGTACCAGTCAAGACATATCCATGTGTGTTATATCAGTCAAACAAGCCATGTGTGTTGTACACGTCAAACTAGCCATGTGTGTTGTACACGTCAAACTTGCCATGTGTGTTGTACACGTAAAACTTGCCATGTGTGTTGTAAACGTCAAACTTGCCATGTGTGTTGTACGTGTAAATCTTGCCATATGTGTTGTACACGTAAAACTTGCCATGTGTGATGTACGTGTCAAACTTGCCATGTGTGTTGTACTAGTCGGGTCAGCCAAGGAATTTTACTTGTCCAACTAGCCAGGAGTTGTACTTGTCAGGTCCGCCAAGGAGTTTTACTTGTCAAACTAGCCAGGAGTTGTACTTGTCAGGTCAGCCAAGGAGGTTTAGTTGTCTAACTAGCCAGGAGTTGTACTTGTCAGGTCAGCCAAGGAGGTTTAGTTGTCTAACTAGCCAGGAGTTGTACTTGTCAGGTCAGCCAAGGAGGTTTAGTTGTCTAACTAGCCAGGAGTTGTACTTGTCAGGTCAGCCAAGGAGGTTTAGTTGTCTAACTAGCCAGGAGTTGTACTTGTCAGGTCAGCCAAGGAGGTTTAGTTGTCTAACTAGCCATGGAATCATATTAGTCATGGGTGTCAAACAGTAGGAATGATGTCTCTGAACTCCAACAACTGAAATTTCGATATAGGGCTGTTAGTTTTACCTGTGAAACTTTGGTGTTTCAACTCAAGCACCTTTGTTGTATCATCTTAATATATCTGTTTATTTTTTTATTTCCTTGATTTCTGTTTGCTTATATAGGTTATGCTTTTGTTACGATACTGCTGTAAATTTATCTCTTATTAATGTAACATTAATTTTATATGTAGTTTGATGATTTATAAGAACAGTTTGAGTGTGGAAAAAGAAGCCATTTTGTAGGCAGAAACATTTTTCAGCAACTGAGTCATGAGAAAATTTTCCTTTGTTTCAATGATCTAATTAAAAAATCAAGACAAGTACACTTTATTTCCAATGACTCTTTGTAAATTAAAATTCACACTTCAGATATCTGCACTGCATACCACCGATATAATCTGCCTATGCTTTTCAAATGGAGAGTATAACAAGTTTACACTAATAGGAATTAGGCATCGATGTCCAGTTAACAGTAAATTGTAGGTAAAATAAAGAATCCAGATAAGTGTGTGGATAGCAAAACAATGATATAAGTATATTTGTCTGAGCTTTCGTTCCATTTCTGACTGTTTGTTTGTTTGTTCACTCGGTCTGCTGATGAGTATATAGACTGTTCAGTTCAAAGCAGCAGAAACTGAGCAGCGTTATGTCAGACCAATCGGCCGAATATGTGTGGCCACCGTTCATCCAGCAGCTGAGTTATACTAGTCAGATTAGCCTTGGCTGTCATACATGTCATGTTAACTATTTAAGAGAGGCTAGTGACCGGAGTCAACCTAACTTGAAGAGGACACTGCAACTGGTATAGTTACTGTAAGTTGATTGGTGTCAATTAAATCTGATGCCATTATGACTTGTGCAGATTCTGTGCTCTTTGTGTTATCAATAGAGCCAGGAGATAAAGCCACAGTGATAGGGTTAACTGGGGTCATAGATATTGGTATTGCTGTATAGGAACCTCCTGATCCCTGATCTGGGGCGAAGGTTGTACGGTTATCACAGGAATCCTCCTCTTCTGCACGTTCCTTCTTGCAGTCGCACACGATTGTTATAGGAGGGAGTGTAGATGGTGCTGTCATGTTTTCAGAGGTTTGCGGAAGTACCACTCTAGCTTGTTGATTAGACTCCTCTCCATTACTGGTGATCACTCGGACTGAAGGCACGTTTTGTGATGGAACTCCAATCACTGGACCTCCAACAACAGACTGGCCAAGGTTTGCCACTGAAGGAGCAACAAGCTGAAGTGCACTTTCAGACTGAATGCGTGGCCCTTCAGGCGTGTTGGCGATCACCTTTGTGATGAGGTAATGCTGTACAGTTACAGATTGTTGGGAGTTCTGACTTGTCACTGACTCTGTAGTGGTGGGCGTAGTGCTACTCGCTGTGGCAGGAATAAACAACTGTACTACCGGCGAGTCCTTGTCGGGCTGCACCATGTTACTAGCACATGTGACTGGAATGGTGCCAACAGACTGTACTGCAGTAGTAACTGTGTTTGTGTCAGGGATCGCTATGACAGGTACTTGGGCCTCATCTGGACCTTGCAAAGGGGAGACAATCGGCTGGGGCAGACTGATGACAGGCTGAACACTGTATATCTGTTGGGACAAATCCCCAGCATCCTCTGCAACACTAAATACCTGTTGGGACAGATTCCCTGTGTCCGCTGCCACTATCACTGTCTGTTGTCCTACTGACCCAAGAACACTGTTTCCATCCACATGCATGCTCAGCTCTGTTGATAAACAGCCAAAATCAATCAGTAAAATTATTTACATTAAGGGCTGTTGTAGTAAAACATCTACTTAACCACAGAACTCCAAAATAAAACTCTTCTATCAAAGGCTTGACTTCCGGCCTGTCTCTTCATCTTATCAAATTTTCAATTAAATAATAGGGGCTGAAGTCCTGGGGTGGGACGGATGTTTCCTGTAATACGCCTAACAAATTCCAATATATCTACTTTATACTTGGAGATTGCTAAACAGTCATTTATGAGACAGATATCTCAACTGGAGGACAAGATTCTTTGTCTAAAAATCATACAGAGGTGATAAGACAGACAGTTAGTCGTGTTAACTTGCATTATTTTGCATGTAGAAGAAAATTAAAGAAATATACTATGTGAGTATAAACATTATTCAATCTAATAAACAATGACCCCATTTTCCAGGACAGTAATGTATTTTGGAACAACCATTTTGTCAAGGCAAGGGTGACTTTTTCAAATAAAGGTGAGTTTGAGAAAGATTAATTTATTTCCCCCAAAACTAACTGTAACGTACATGTTAAATGTGAAACAAAAACAACATCAACATCTCATAAAAAAACAAGATAAAATAGTACAATCTAACCAATTCACCAAGATTCAGACAAAATAATGTCTTACCAGCCGTGTCTGGCGTCCCAGTGGCTCGAGCAACATCATGGTTGTAGTCATTCGCAATGGAATTAAGGAAATCTTCTATACTTGAGCTGATATTACTGCCTGGATTCTGTTTTTAAAAAATATAGGTTACAGACATGGACTAATAATTCTATTTATGAAATAATAACCAAACAAATGATTAATGAGTAAGTGGTGAATACCTACCATGAAGACATCTGATTGGCTATCAGTACATACAATAACCACACATTAATGAGTAAGTGGTGAATACCTACCATGAAGACATCTGATTGGCTATCAGTACATACAATAACCACACATTAATGAGTAAGTGGTGAATACCTACCATGAAGACATCTGATTGGCTATCAGTACATACAATAACCACACATATGATTAATAAGTAAGCAGGTTTTTACCTGGAAATTATCATCCTCATATGATGTGGCTTGGCCTGAAGGTTCTGCATCCAACTGAATGACATTGGACTGAAAGATAACAGGATACATGATAGATTGTGTACTTTGTCCAGACAGGATATAAACATTCTTATATATAGAACATTCAAAGTATATTTGAATAATGACTCAGTTTTACACCATCATAAATAATGACTCAGATATACACCAACAGAAAAATAGACTCAATTCTTTACCATGTGGAATGATGACTCAATAATACATCATCAGAAATAATGACTCAATTCTTTACAATGAGGAATATTGACTCAATTCTTCACCCTGTGAAATAATGACTCAGTTTTACACCATCAGAAATGATGACTCAATTCTTTACCCTGAGAAATGATGACTCATTTTTACACTATTAGAAATAATGACTCAATTCTTCACCCTGTGTAATAATGACTCAGTTTTACACCATCAGAAATGACGACTCAGTTTTACACAATCAGAAATAATGACTCAAATCTTTACCCTGTGGAATAATGACTCAGTTTTACACCATCAAAAATAATGACTCAAATCTTTACCTTGTGGAATAATGACACAGTTTTACACCATCAGAAATGATGACTCAGTTTTACACAATCATAAATAATGACTCAAATCTTTATCCTGAGGAATAATGACTCAGTTTTACACCATCAGAAATAATGACTCAAATATTTACCCTGAGGAATAATGACTCAGTTTTACACCATCAGAAATAATGACTCAAATCTTTACCATGTGGAATAATGACTGAGTTTAATACCACCACCACTCAGTTATATATAAGTTGACTAGGACTGAATTAATTAAACAGACTTGAGTGTTTTGTTAGCAATGTACTTCTAAACGAAAAGTTTTAAATTCCAACAGAATGGTCTTAAACAGTTGTCTATCAATATAAAAATAATCAGATGTAAAGAAACAGCTTTTGGGAAATGTCTTGATTGATATTACATACCTCCACATTATCTGTTTTGGCATGTCGATTCATATGTGACTTCAAACTGTGGTTGGTTGTGAAGGTCTTGGCACATCCATCCTGCTGACATGAGAATGGTTTTTCTCCTGAAATCACAACAGTTTTGTTAAAGTCACTGAGTAGTACTGTCAATGAACACCACTGCTTTATTCTTAATAGCTTTTCTTCAGTTTAGTGTTTTCAACATGTATGATATTGACTTATCTAGACAATAATAAGTGTAAATGATAGTGTGACTGTTAAATCTGTTAACACACTTTACTGTGTGAATTCAATATTGAGTAACACATTTACCTGTGTGAATTTGAAATAAAGTTGACACATTTACCTGTGTGAATGAATTTGATATTGAGTTAACATATTGACTTATGCAAGTAGTAAGAATTAAAACATTAATGTGTGTCTGTTTCCCAATAAGTAAATATACAGTGTCCTGTGTAAGCTTGATAATTAGTTAAGATATATTTACCCGTGTAAGCTTGATGATGAGTTAACATATATTTATCTGTGTGAGTTAGGTGATGAGTTAAAATATATTTACCTGTGTGAGTTAGGTGATGAGTTAACATATATTTACCTGTGTGAGTTCGGTGATGAGTTAACATGTTTACCTGTGTAAGTTTGATGACGAGTTAACATATATTTACCTGTGTAAGCTTGATGATGAGTTAACATATATTTACCTGTGTAAGTTTGATGATGAGCTAACATATATTTAACTGTGTGAGTTAGGTGATGAGTTAAAATATATTTACCTGTGTGAGTTATGAGTTAACATATATTTACCTGTGTAAGTTTGATGATGAGCTAACATATATTTACCTGTGTAAGCTTGATGATGAGTTAACATTTATTTACCTGTGTAAGCTTGATGATGAGTTAAAATATATTTACCTGTGTGAGTTATATCTCAACATATATTTACCTGTGTGAGTTATGAGTTAATATATATTTACCTGTGTGAGTTCGGTGATGAGTTAACATATATTTACCTGTGTGAGTTATGAGTTAACATATATTTACCTGTGTGAGTTATGAGTTAACAAATATTTACCTGTGTAAGTTTGATGATGAGTTAACATATATTTACCTGTGTGAGTTCGGTGATGAGTTAACATATATTTACCTGTGTAAGCTTGATGATGAGTTAAAATATATATACCTGTGTGAGTTATATGTCAACATATATTTACCTGTGTGAGTTATGAGTTAATATATATTTACCTGTGTAAGCTTGATGATGAGTTAACATATATTTACCTGTGTAATTTTGATGATGAGCTAACATATATTTAACTGTGTGAGTTAGGTGATGAGTTAAAATATATTTACCTGTGTGAGTTATGAGTTAACATATATTTACCTGTGTAAGTTTGATGATGAGCTAACATATATTTACCTGTGTAAGCTTGATGATGAGTTAACATTTATTTACCGGTGTAAGCTTGATGATGAGTTAAAATATATTTACCTGTGTGAGTTATATGTCAACATATATTTACCTGTGTGAGCTATGAGTTAATATATATTTACATGTGTGAGTTCGGTGATGAGTTAACATATATTTACCTGTGTGAGTTATGAGTTAACATATATTTACCTGTGTGAGTTATGAGTTAACAAATATTTACCTGTGTAAGTTTGATGATGAGTTAACATATATTTACCTGTGTGAGTTCGGTGATGAGTTAACATATGTTTACCTGTGTAAGCTTGATGATGAGTTAAAATATATTTACCTGTGTGAGTTATATGTCAATATATATTTACCTGTGTGAGTTATGAGTTAATATATATTTACCTGTGTAAGCTTGATGATGAGTTAACATATATTTACCTGTGTAATTTTGATGATGAGCTAACATATATTTAACTGTGTGAGTTAGGTGATGAGTTAAAATATATTTACCTGTGTGAGTTATGAGTTAACATATATTTACCTGTGTAAGTTTGATGATGAGCTAACATATATTTACCTGTGTAAGCTTGATGATGAGTTAACATTTATTTACCGGTGTAAGCTTGATGATGAGTTAAAATATATTTACCTGTGTGAGTTATATGTCAACATATATTTACCTGTGTGAGCTATGAGTTAATATATATTTACATGTGTGAGTTCGGTGATGAGTTAACATATATTTACCTGTGTGAGTTATGAGTTAACATATATTTACCTGTGTGAGTTATGAGTTAACAAATATTTACCTGTGTAAGTTTGATGATGAGTTAACATATATTTACCTGTGTGAGTTCGGTGATGAGTTAACATATGTTTACCTGTGTAAGCTTGATGATGAGTTAAAATATATTTACCTGTGTGAGTTATATGTCAATATATATTTACCTGTGTGAGTTATGAGTTAATATATATTTACCTGTGTGAGTTCGGTGATAAGTTAACATATATTTACCTGTGTGAGTTATGAGTTAACATATATTTACCTGCGTAAGTTTGATGATGAGTTAACATATATTTACCTGTGTGAGTTCGGTGATGAGCTAACATATATTTACCTGTGTGAGTTCTGTGATGCGTTTTAAGGTGATGACTAGCAGCAAATGCTTTAGAACACCCATCTTCTTTACATCTGTCACATAAATAATACAATTTCTGTTACATCAATAGGCACTTTGTCATAAGGTACAGAGCATCGCTAATTCCTTTTTCTAAATTCTTACATAATAATAATTGAACAATGACATAGAATTAGGAGTGGAAGAACATCGTTCACTGTGTACCAGGATGGGAGAGGAGGGACATGGGTAACACTGTGTACCAGGATGGGAGAGGAGGGACATGGGTAACACTGTCTACCCAGATGGGAGAGGAAGAACATCGTTCACTGTGTACCAGGATGGGAGAGGAGGGACATGGGTAACACTGTCTACCCAGATGGGAGAAGAGGGACATGGGTAACACTGTGTACCTGAATGGGAGAGGAAGGACATGGGTAACACTGTCTATCTGGATGGGAGGGGAGGGACATGGGTAACAATGTGTTCCTTGATGGGAGAGGAAGGACATGGGTAACACTGTGTACCTGGATGGGAGAGGAAGGACATGGGTAACACTGTGTACCTGGATGGGAGAGGAAGGACATGAGTAACACTGTGTACCTGGATGGGAGAGGAGGAACATGGGTAACACTGTGTACCTGGATGGGAGAGGAAGGACATGAGTAACACTGTGTACCTGGATGGGAGAGGAGGGACATGGGTAACACTGTGTAACCAGATGGGAGAGGAGGGACATGAGTAACACTGTCTACCTGGATGGGAGAGGAGGGACATGGGTAACACTGTGTACCCAGATGGGAGAGGAGGGACATGAGTAACACTGTCTACCTGGATGGGAGAGGAGGGACATGGGTAACACTGTGTACCCAGATGGGAGAGGAGGAACATGGGTAACAGTGTGTACATGGATGGGAGAGGAGGGACATGGGTAACACTGTGTACCTGGATGGGAGAGGAAGGACATGGGTAACACTGTGTAACCAGATGGGAGAGGAGGGACATGGGTAACACTGTGTAACCAGATGGGAGAGGAGGAACATGGGTAACACTGTGTAACCAGATGGGAGAGGAGGAACATGGGTAACACTGTGTAACCAGATGGGAGAGGAGGGACATGAGTAACACTGTCTACCTTGATGGGAGAGGAAGGACATGGGTAACACTGTGTACATGGATGGGAGAGGAGGGACATGAGTAACACTGTCTACCTTGATGGGAGAGGAGGGACATGGGTAACACTGTCTACCTGGATGGGAGAGGAGGGACATGGGTAACACTGTGTACCCAGATGGGAGAGGAGGGACATGAGTAACACTGTCTGCCTGGATGGGAGAGGAGGGACATGGGTAACACTATGTACCTGGATGGGAGAGGAGGGACATGGGTAACACTGTGTACCCAGATGGGAGAGGAGGGACATGAGTAACACTGTCTGCCTGGATGGGAGAGGAGGGACATGGGTAACACTATGTACCTGGATGGGAGAGGAGGGACATGGGTTTTTCACCAGTGTGAGTATGTATGTGTTTTCTCAGGTCATTTAGTGTAGTTATAACTTACACAAATGGTTTTTCACCGGTGTGAGTACGTATGTGTTTTCTCAGGTCATTTAGTGTAGTTATAACTTACACAAATGGTTTTTCACCGGTGTGAGTACGTATGTGTTTTCTCAGATCACTTAGTGTAGTGAAGTACTTGGTACATCCATCTTCCTCACAGTTAAAGGTATTTCCAGAATGGATCCTCTGATGAGCCCTCAGTCTACAAATAATAACATTGTTTACATGTGAATAATCAAAAACACCCACTGCAGCAGGGTAATCATTATACAGTGTTAAATACAAGCAGTTTTTTTCTTAATTTTCAACTGATAATTTTCAGCCAGATGTATGTATACATCAATGAAATGGAGCACTTTTTCCTGATGCTCTACCACCTACTTAATTATTGTCATCAGCAGATCTCTCCATCGGCAGACCAATGTATCTAACTTAATTCTAATACATCACAATACCAAAGTAATACTTGAAATGTGCCATAACCTATCCTACCTGTATAGCGTGTTAAAGGACTTGTGACACTCCCTCTGTTCACATTCGTAAGGTTTTTCTTTTGTGTGGACTCGTACATGGATCTTGAGACTGTATGAGGTGAGGAAAGACTTCCCACATCCAGCTTCGTTACAGACAAATGTATATTCACCTGTGGACAAGCAAATCTTAGGTTCAATTACACCTCAATAAAACACATGCCAGTAATGCACTGTCCCCAACTTTTATAAACACTACTGATTCATATACAAACTTTAGCTTCAAATAGTCAATAGAAAAACAAATGCCATCTTTTACAAGTAAGATACAGATCACATTGATGTAAAGTTTCTGTGTATTTAAATCATCTTTATCTTTCACAGCTGTGTTATTAAGTACTACAGCTTCTATTCAGAGCTTCACACTGCCTGAAACAATTCTGCAGTAAATATTTTTTTGTTTTTTTGTTTTGTTTTGAACAAACTGTTTCCCATTGAGAATGAGTTTGTAATATTTTCCTTTTAAAATTGTTATGATTATAACAATCCATCATATTACCAGGAACAACAAGAGGCCTAGCGGTCTTGATGGTCACCTGAGATAAGCAATATTGATTATAAAGGTCAAAAGGTAAGTCCTTTTCTACTGTCACAAAAAAGAAATTGTGACATTGATGATAGTAAGTCAGTGTCAATATCTGCATACCATCAAAACTGTCATCCTATACTAATAATTCTTACAAAATTATTGCCATTAGGAAATGAATAACATTATGCTCAACAAGAGGCCTACTGGCATTAAGGGTCAACTGAATATTAAGACCATTCATATCAACAAACTTGGCAACCCTTCATCCAAACATGCTACAGGCCCAATATCAGCACTCTGGGCCTTTTGCTTATTGAGAAGATGTTATTTAAACATTTGAACATATTTGACCCCTGTGACCTTGAAAGATCATTCATATTTACAAACTGTGTAGCCCTTCTTCCCATCATGTTACAGGCCCAAAATCAGTACCCTGAGCCTTCTGTTTATTGAGAAGAAGTCATTTCAATGAAAATTTGCGCACAGTGATGGACAAAACACAATGGCTAAAGGTCATCCTGACGCTTCAGGTCAGATGACCTAAAAATGCCATTTTTTGTATTAAAACTACAGTAAAGTTAACCTCCTCCCCAGGAAGAAATGTTAGACCCATTTCAGTAATTAAAGCACCTCAAGATGCTTCCATACATGAAGAGCATTTGATTCTACCATACCTTAGTGTTCAGAAGAAGGTTTCTGAAATTTAAGTCAATTTGACCCCTTATGACCCCACCCATCAGCCCCTGGGGGTCAGCCAGGATCAATATTGACATATCATCAAGTCATCATCCTTCACTCAATTCTAACTAAGTTTAAGATATTTCCAATAGAAATTAACAAATTATGCTCAAAAATCTATTTTGTTTATATAAACCAAAGTAAAATTTAACCCCTGCCCACTGGGAAACATGAGACCCTGGGGCCATGAAATTCACAATTTTTGTAAAGCACCTTAAGATGCTTCCATCCATGAAGAACATTTGATTCTACCATATCTTGATGTTGAGAAGCAGATTTTTGAAATCTGAGTGAATTTGACCCCTTTTGGCCCCGCCCCTCTGGCTGCTGCGGGGTTGGCACTGTATAATTAACTATTTTGGTTCATCTTAGGCCAGGGAAGTTTTTTTTCCAAAATTTCATTGAAATTGGTTCAGGTGTTTTTGGAGGAGAAGCTGAAAATGTAAAATTGTTTACAGATACACAACACCAGGGGTGATCACAATAGGTCACCATGAGACTGTGTCTAAGGTAACCTAACAATGTGAAGTTCTATCTCAGCTACAGACATATCATTAGAGATGTATCTCCCTTTACCCTTATGAGTTTTCTGATGGGTTCTCAGGTTCCCTGCCGTGCTGTATGTCCGTGGACAACCCGTGTAGTTGCATTGGTACCTGCAATGTTTAAATGTATCATTAACTGTAAATAATTACATTCCAGACAGGTTATTTGTGGGCTGTAGGAACCCAAACTTGGTGGACATCAATTAAGTATAATAACATATATATAAAGTACAGGCTTGCACTGGCTATTTTCTGATTGGGGTCCTTATCAGATTAAATGAGTTTTTTTTCTGTACTAGCTTCTCACCTTTACTTACTTTGTAAAAGCCACCCACCTATTCTATGTACCAATTCTTGCCATGCTTCAGGAAATGTTTGTTAATTTGCACATAACTTGTCATTTTTTGTCCTGGTTTTAAAACAAAGTATTTTCTATCTTGAAAAATGTATCTGCAGAGACATTTTGATCTTATCAATGAAATGCTTGTATTGGTGACCCTTGACAAGAATCAGTATGTATTGAGAAAAGGTCAGTGACCAATTTAGTTTGAACTGAGTTCTTCAAAATGACTTGGGCCCAATCTTTTTTTTTTCCCAAAAAGGCTTTTGTTGTGGCTTCATTGAAAACTGTTTAGTGTATAATGAATATTGTGACATTGTCTAAAATCAAATGAAATATATTGAAATAGGATAAAATAATAAAACTTATTGATATCTACCTTGTTACCTCAAGAAGCTTGGTGTTGGGGTCTCGACTTTCCATAGTAATTGTAGCATGGCTTGGGTTGGAAGGCATGCAATTTTCCCCTGGATTGATTTGCATCAATATCTGATCCTCGGATATTGTGTGTTGGATGTATCTACAACACCACCAATCTCTTTGGTCAACTTCTGTAGCCAGAACTCCAAAGCAGTAATATAAAATTTGGTACTGATAAATCTTCTTGCACTTAGAATTTTGTCAGCATTTTCCAAACTACATGATAACAGTATTAATAGTTGTTAAATATCAGCTACCTTTCATGTTTCACTAGTCTTTTATCCTACTGTTATAATACCTTTGTTATTGTTGGATACATTACTTTTTAGTAATCATTTACAATTGTATTTTAAGAAGTATCTAACCCAAACTACTATATATAAACAGTCAATATGTTACTTAGCTGTTTTATTGTTAATTTGATAATAAAGAAAGATGGAAACGCAACAGGCTGTTATCAATTGTGATATCTCAGCTAAGATTTGAACCCAGGACCTGTGGCTTACTAGTCTTATGAGCTAAAGAGGTTTCTCTAGCTACATGGTATATCGTGGTCAATGTTTACCCGTGTTCAGGAAATAACTAAATTTTCCATTGGTTACAGATAGAGATTCATGTGAAAGCAACATTATGTATTACTCTTGAATACCTAAATGGGCTCCAATGTAAGAGAAGTCAATATTCATTTCAAAACACGACTTTACATGTAAATTTGTGTATCTTGTTATGTTTTCTTCAGGACTCAAATGCCGGACCTCTTATTTTTAACATCAGTCCTACGCTTAACAAATTGCGCTTAAGGAAAGATATCCTTAGCTGAGCGGTATATTGTGGGTAGCCGTCATCGGGGTAACAGTAAGAACAAAACGAAAATTATATTTCAACCGATAGATTTCTAGTGACTGTCAACCGGCTGATGTAGGGGGATTGGGGGGGGGGCTTAGTAAAACGTAGTATTTGCGTGTACCCTTCGTTGGAGTCAGACTGCTTCTGAGGCATTTTGTTATCGGATGAGAGTTCCGTGGATTCCAAGTCCCCTGGTCTGAGTTCTGCCCTTTGGGTTTCGTTTGAATCACCGTTCAAATAAACTCGAGTTACCGAGCTGGTGTCGGGAGCAAGATTGTCATCTTCAGCTTCCAGCATGTCGAAACCTTCAAAGCTTCCCCAGTTTACGCCTTCCATATCGCCAGGAGTATCCATTATAGTAATATAAATTTATTGTCTATAGCAGTGTCTCTAAAAAGTTTGAATTTATCCGAAGAAGAGGTAAAACATGAAATCCTGTCTCTGTTGACTTTCCGACCCTACCTTCCATAGTTGAGCCATGACACCGGATGTTGCATTAGCAGGTATATTATATACTGACAACGACTTGTTTCTACTGTGGGGAACGATTGCGTTTATCTATATACATTGCATGCAGAATCATCTCAAAATTGAAGGTTAAAAAGAAAACATCTATACTAAATTTCAATGGTACCGAATAAAAATAAATATAATATAAAAACAAATATAATATAAAAGTCAATAAATTCATGTTGACAAACACCCTGTAATGTTTTTTTTTTTATTTCAGGATTACATTTCCACTGAACAATGTCCTTCCTAATGACAAACTTATTGACCTCCTATTTACGTTATGTAACAAAATGCATCACTCATGTTTCTGACCCTTACACACCTTTAAGTATTCTAATAGGTAACATTTATACAGTAGCATTATAGCCTACATGCGAATCAAAATAACGAACGATAACTCTGGGTTTCTGCTAACAAGTCTCTATCTTCTTTTCATCGTTTGAATATTATGCGTTCGTTCCAAATGTACTTCTGTTATGTTTTGATTATTCAGGCAATTTAGAAATAAAGATTTTTCTTCTTTTTTTTTTTTTCTTTTTAATTTACTCAGGTTCTTTTATAATTTTAGTATGTTTGGTCTACTTGATATTACATGTCCTCCTGGGCGATTAGTTACACGTACATTGGTACTTCCGGCAAAATCGGTCTTTTTACAGTGAATAGCCAAAATGGTGGGTCTGTATAGGGACATGTGATATATAATCCGTTCAATCCTAGCTCATATATTGCAACTATAACCAATTTTAGGAAATAAACACAATAATATAACATTAAATTAAATAAATATTTTGTTATTTTCGTTATAAACATTGATATTGGTTAGTAATTTAGTTATATAAAGTGCAACTTCGGTTTACATTGAGTAATGTAAATAGATTTCGGATTGCGACTATGTCATGAGTTTCCTTCGTTTATCCCTTGCATACTAACAGCAAACGATAATGTTCTGCATTTTGCAAGCATCCGTATGCAATCGATTACATGCTATTGCGGATGTTTGAAGGTGTATCGTGGAAGGGTAGCAAATCTACTACATCTACATTACATGTGCGATACGCACTTCTGAAGTTCTTGTGAAGTATTGTGAACATGGCCATGAAACACATTTGTAAAGTTTGATTCTCTTAAATGTTTTATTTACTTGACATTATATGTTTGACATTTTGTCAGGTTTTGGTAAGTTGATATTGGATAAACGTTCCCATTTGCTGTCAAATCTTGTACGATTCTGAAACCAATTGACTATATGACCGAATACCAACCTTATCTCACTTGTTCATTGAATAATAACATCAACTTGATAATAGGTTTTTAATAGCTCATTTAGTCTCGGTCAGTTCTTTCATTTTATGAGCAGGTCGGGAAATACCATAAATTTGTGTACAATACACAAACTGGCCATTAAACAGTAACTTTTGCAATATATCACTTTTTAAGTTGCATTGCTTTGTGACAAGGTAAATTGTTTTTTGCTAAAAGATGTTAACTGACAATTCTGACTACTTATAAATCTTAGCACAAGTTGCCACCATATTAACTACTATTGTAACATGGGCCATTTAGACTGGAAGTACTGCATCTATTTTCAGTACTTTGTTGTCTTGGTTGCAGTCAAACGTCAGAATTTCTCACTTTGTAAAAACACCAGATTTTAGCAACCAATTCATAGATTGCAGTTGGGGAATGTTGTATAAAGTTAACAACAGAGCAAAAATTATGCTGCTGAGAGCTGTAGTCTGGTGTCCATTGCAGAGAATGTATCCAAAAAAAAAAAGAATATTTGTGCAAGTATCAACAACATTTAGATTCAGTATAAGTTCCCTTTGCTCTTATTTTTGACGTTTGATTTTCAGGGTTACCGAGGACGTAGGAAATCTATGAAGCGCCTGACGGCGCCAAAGTCATGGATGCTTGACAAATTGAGTGGTGTCTTTGCTCCTCGACCTAGCACTGGCCCACACAAGTTGAGGGAATGTCTTCCCATGATCGTTTTCCTGCGTAACAGATTAAAGTATGCCCTCACATACGATGAAGTGAAGAAGATCGTTAACCAGAGGCTGATCAAAGTTGATGGGAAGGTGAGAACCGCCAAGGACTACCCAGCTGGTTTTATGGGTAAGTACAAGAGGTCAGAATTGATTTATCTTGACAGACAGGCAGACATGCAGTTGCTACTTGCTACGACACTGAAATCCCATTTTATGTCTCAATTTAAAAAAAAAATTGTACTTGTTTTAGATGGTATTTATATATATCTTCAAAATATAACAAATATTCTGTTTAAAGAAAAGACCAAACAGGCCCTATCGAAGCTATCCTTGATCTTACCTGTGTTCATGTATAGTCAATTTGAGGCCAACAGAAATTTCTGTCAACGGTCGCCCACCAGCATGTGTTTGTAGGGCATTACCAATGACTTGATACAGTTGAGTGGAAATTTTGAAATTTCATTAAGAATGGCATTTTCAAAATTAATGTCATACAAACTTGAAGTAACAAATGACATTTTGTTTGTTAGATGTCATCACCATTGAGAAGACAAATGAGAACTTCAGACTTCTGTATGATGTAAAAGGACGATTTACAGTTCATCGTATCAAGCCAGAGGAAGCCAAGGTAAGCTCTAATATGAAAGCTGTGACCTGGTTTTCCTGGTGGTCAAGATTAGATATGTCACATAGTTTTGATGTGGTACCAGAGGTGGGGGCGCCAAGATTCCTGTATTTTTCAGGCATAAATAGGGAAGGACCTGGACAGCTTTAACACCGGCTTAAAAAATCTCAGCTCGTCAGAAAGCCAAATAAGATCAGTAGGTCCGTCCTCGTGTCGTAGGCAAACAACTGTAGACTGAAACAGTCCTGTATTTCAATCTTCTTGAAAAAGTAGGAAAATGGCATGTTGTGTCTATTGATAAAATGACTAGTGATTCCGAAGTTGGTAATAGGAAGTTCTACATAATCATTTTGATACTGATTAGTGACGGAATGATGTTCGGATATCATCTATCGTCTTAATTGTTTAATCTTATCTGATGTGATGATCCATAGGAAAGATGCCAATAACATTTGTTCTTATGTAAATTCTAGGTAAGTCGGGTATGCAAGGTTTAAGTAAATTTTAGGTACGTCCGATATTCTAGGTTTAAGTAAATTCTAGGTAAGTCAGGTATTCTAGGTTTATGTAAATTCTGGGTAAATTAGCTATTCTAGGTTTAAGTAAATTCTAGGTACGTCCGATATTCTAGGTTTAAGTAAATTCTAGGTACGTCGGGTATGCAAGGTTTAAGTAAATTCTAGGTACGTCCGATATTCTAGGTTTAAGTAAATTCTAGGTAAGTCGGGTATTCTAGGTTTAAGTAAATTCTAGGTAAGTCAGGTATTCTAGGTTGATGTAAATTCTGGGTAAATTAGCTATTCTAGGTTTAAGTAAATTCGAGGTAAGCCAGATATTCTAGGTTTATGTAAATTCTAGGTAAGTCGGGTATTCTTTACTGTTTAATGGCCCTTACAACCTTTTATTTGTTGACCGGCCATTTAAGAATGCAATAATAATAATAAAATCAGGTATTCTAGGTTTAAAAAAAGAAAATAATTCATTTTCTACAAATATTGAACACATTGTCTGCCAATTGACACTGTCAGCCAATTATGTAATTGATAACTACATTGATAACCTTATCCGATTTCAACTGATTTTCTTTCGTCAATAGTGATAATCCTCATTCATATTATACAGAATTTCATGCTTTTTCATGCATTTGTAATAAGTGCTGGATGCCTTCAGTAATGGACCATAGCTCTTGATAGGATGCATGTAAAACAATGCAAAGCCAAACATCAACTCGCGTCATGTTCTGAATCAGTGTCTTTTCTTGGAAACCTCCCAAACAGATTGATTGGGTTCATATTTATCCTATAGCATCCAATTCCTAACATCATGTTCTACATCTGGTCAGATTCTGATTTGCATAGCAGCAAAGGCATTCATGTCCTAAAGATATTTTTTCCTTGTGAATAAAATTTCATTGATGTGACTTGTTAACATTTTTTCCTGTTAGATTTTTCGACTAGCCCAGACTTGTTATAGGGAAAAGACAAGTTTCTGGTTTAAGGTTTGATATGCATTGAGATTAAAACCTTGATTGTTTTAAGTACAAACTCTGCCGAGTGAAGAGAGTGACTGTTGGAGCTAAGGGTGTGCCAATGTTGACCACTCACGATGCCAGGACTATCCGCTACCCTGACCCTTTGACCAAGGTTAATGACACTGTCATGGTGGACATTGCCACTGGCAAAATGAAGGAGTTCATCAAATTTGATTCTGGTAAGAATTCCCCCACCAGTTTTGGTTTTACAATTGCAGATGAAGAAAATACTTTTTGAAAAAAATAAATAAATAAATAGAAGATTATAGATTACAAACATCTGTGGTGATTATTTAACTTGTTTTTACTATTTTATTTTTGATGGCCCTTTCGAAGCTATACTTCATCTGTTCTCTGATATTGTGTAGTCAAACTGAGGCCAAGATAAATTTCTGTCGACGGTCGCCCACTGACTTGTGTTTTTGGGCATTACCAATGGCTTGATACATTGAGATATTTAAAATCGCAGTCATTGTTTATAGAAAAATGTGCTGACAACTCTAATGTCAGTTTGAGAAACTTTATCCATTAAGACAACAGCGTGGGACACTTCCCTTTGGATGGTTATGCAGGTATCCGTTTGTAATTACCCTTAGTAGGCGACTTGTTGTTCACATTACATATAGAGCTTATGTGTTGTTTCAGGTAACTTGTGTATGATCACTGGAGGTCATAACTTGGGCAGAGTTGGTATAATTCAGCACAGAGAGAGACATCCAGGATCTTTTGACATTGTACACATCAAGGATGCTTTAGGACACACTTTTGCTACACGGTGGGTAGACCTCAACAGGACTCCTGTTAGGCTCTCTTGAAATTCTGTTTCTGTATTTTGTCTCTTCACTCACATTCATATTTCCTATGCTTCTGCTGAGAAAATTTTGAGGACCACATTTTATTATCAATGAATTTGGTCGTAATGAACAAATGACTTAACGATACACTTATGAAAATTTAAAACTTTCATTTTGATTTGCAAATGAGAAATAAATACGGTATTTTCAGAGTTATAAGCCGCAGAGTCCTTTTTTAACAATTCATTGATATCACAGACAACAGAAGGCAATTTGTCTGTATTGTTAAACATAAGCGTAGGCCCTTGCAGGCTAACAAAATTCTTATAGTCCCATATTTCTTGTAAATTTGTAAAATTGTGATGGACAGGTACCCATAAAAGACTCAGTACTGTCTCATTTCAATTATCTGCCCTTCCCCACGTAGCCTGCCACTGGAAGCACTCTACAACAACTTCCATAATGCAACAACTGCATGGCCGTCTTGAAGATAGACTAGTCCGAGTTTGGACATAAAATTCCAAGCGATGCATCTATATTAAAACATAAATCATGACTGGTTGTGAATAAAAGTCATGTGTGAATTAACGACAAGGAGGCCTGTTCCGAGAATATTTCATGTTTTTGAGAAAGAATGGGGATTCCTGGGAGGGAGAAGGCAGTGACCTAGATAATTTGATTAAGATGTTTTTATTTTCTAAAAGGCTATTGTGTGGTTTGTTATTTTTTAGTGCTATTGAAATTGAGTCCATGAGCTAGTGGTACTGGTACGCTTTGCATTTTTAAAACAAAAAAATTTTGCCAATTTTTTTAGTCCATTTATAAACAGCACACCCAAACACAAAGGAAAAAAGCAGCAGTTTTTTATATGGTAAATACAATAAATAAATTAATAGAAAAATGCAAGATGATCCCTTTTTATTTGGTTGAGAATCATCCTTGGATATGACCTACCAATACACAGAGGGGTATGGCTGAAAGGAAGATTTAGAAAGATAATGAAGATTTTCATTTGTTTTCAGATTGAGTTATGTCTTCGTGATTGGCAAAGGAAACAAGCCATGGATCTCCCTGCCCCGCGGTAAGGGTGTTAAGCTGTCCATCGCTGAGGAGAGGGACAGGAGAATGGCTGCCAAGAGCTCATAAAGACACTAAATTATGACTGTGACAAAATAAAACCATTGCCCGGGAATGTGTAGCCGAGTTTTTCCTTCAGACATCAGAACAAAAGTTTGGCTGGAATCGAATATTATTGCAGAAAATAACATCCATCAACTGAATCATAATTCAGACTCAAAAAGTCAATAGAACTAGGACAAAAAATTGTCAAAAGAAAGATTTACACGTAAAGTTAAGGGAAAGACGAGGAGAATAAGATAGGCCCAAGGATCATAAAATTGTCAAAAGAAAGATTTACACGTAAAGTTAAGGGAAAGACGAGGAGAATAAGATGGGCCCAAGGATCATAAAATTGTCAAAAGAAAGATTTACGCGTAAAGTTAAGGGAAAGACGAGGAGAATAAGATAGGCCCAAGGATCATAAAATTGTCAAAAGAAAGATTTACACGTAAAGTTAAGGAAAAGACAAGGAGAATAAGGCCCAAGGATCATAAAATTGTCAAAAGAAAGATTTACACGTAAAGTTAAGGGAAAGACGAGGAGAATAAGATAGGCCCAAGGATCATAAAATTGTCAAAAGAAAGATTTACACGTAAAGTTAAGGAAAAGACGAGGAGAATAAGGCCCATGGATCATAAAATTGTCAAAAGAAAGATTTACACGTAAAGTTAAGGGAAAGACGAGGAGAATAAGGCCCAAGGATCATAAAATTGTCAAAAGAAAGATTTACACGTAAAGTTAAGGGAAAGACGAGGAGAATAAGATGGGCCCAAGGATCATAAAATTGTCAAAAGAAAGATTTACACGTAAAGTTAAGGGAAAGACGAGGAGAATAAGATGGGCCCAAGGATCATAAAATTGTCAAAAGAAAGATTTACACGTAAAGTTAAGGGAAAGACGAGGAGAATAAGATAGGCCCAAGGATCATAAAATTGTCAAAAGAAAGATTTACACGTAAAGTTAAGGGAAAGACGAGGAGAATAAGGCCCAAGGATCATAAAATGATCGGAGTCTAACACCATTCTTGATACTTTAGTCCCTACGCTCTCTGCACCCCTGGGTCATTTCCTGACAAAATTGAAGGCACAAGGTAATTTGATCGGTTTAGAGGAGATTTCAAGTGGAAAAAATCCCTGACTGATGTGCTTCTTTTAAGATTATAAAGGAGGGACACCCCACGTCAAATCCATTATATTATACTATTATCCAACCACAACATTGGTTTGATATACGTCAAACTAGTCTTCTTGTCTTATCCACAGTGTCTCACAGAGGACCTTTACTTTTGCCATGAAATGTTCCAGCAGTGCAGAAAACGATAGAGAGCATAACACCTGGAGTATCGCAAAAACGGTGTCCTGTTAAGTTTTGAAGTAAGAGGTCGCATATGATTGGCTAAGCAAAATGTTAAATATAAGATTGTTTCATGATCCCATGCTGGTGTTCGAAACAGGTCAGCAATGTATACCTTGGTCAATAAAAGTAAATCATGTCACACTCCCAAATAAGGAGAAGGTAAACATCAGAATTATCGGGTTTGCTAACGAGCATCAAACAGTCTAACTTTGTATGGCATAAGAAAATTAACTATTTCCCAATGAGATCTTCATGCCTGCCGAAAAACTTTCGTATCGTCTACATCTACCGGAATCTTTCAGAACCCCGTGTTGTTTCTGTTTCAAACATCTTGTAGGAAAGTCGTGATATCGAGAATCAAACACCATACTTTGAAGATGACGGCATAATTTCCAGAAATGAAAATGACACCCGCTATGTCAAATCTTTTTCAATCCAAGCAAGTAATGTCACGTTCACAAACGAGAAGGTGCAGCAACGGAACCAATAGGCAAACCAACAAGCATCGAACACGTCCAGTTGCATATCACACAAAGAAATATTTCTCGATATCACTATGACGACCGTGAAACTCCCCTATATCTTTCCGCTTGCATCTTTTGTGTTGCAAGTTGGTCCGACAGATGATGATTTTCTTGCTGGGAAATCGTGAATCACGTTTATCATACAGCTTGTTGGAAAGCTGTCCATGTTGTAGAAAAAGATCGAGATGGACTGCTGATGTAAAAGAATCTGTTTTGTCTTTGATTTCCAGTTATAGTGGATATATTAGATGGTCAATACAATTCTTGTTATTTAAAGGCGGCGTCATCTGAAAGTGAAATTTAACGACTTTACATGGTCTTTGCTACCTCTTTTAATTAGCTCTTCGATAAATTCGGCCTCGAATAAAAAAAAAATCGGCCAGCGTTGGGCACTGTTAGTTCCAATAGGCATGTAAATAGTCTGTTCGAGCAGTCGGAGACCAAGAAACTGCAAATTTTGTCTTATCGAGAAACAAATGTGTGGGAGTTTGGCCAATAGCATTGAAGTGACAGAAGGACAGAACAGCTGTATAATGCAGTCTATACGGTCCGGTAGCATCCAGTACTACATTTATATTAAAGGAATGTTATCCTTTTTGTTTGGTAAATCATCAATGTGGTTTAACATATCATTTGGTCGACATTCCTTCCTTTATAACCTTACAGGTTATAGATGTCGCGATTGTACTCACGGTTCAAGTACTTGGAATCAATAATTATTTGATTGAATGAATTGATTGCGAAATTGACACTTTAAATACCAATCTGACCTGTCTCAACAAATCCTCAGCTGTTAAATGATACATTATGGTCTCAATTTCGCTTACCGCTGATTATTTCCGACCAAGTTTTAAGCACTTTGGTTCAGTCGACGTTTGTCCACTTAACGTACCCTCCATGGCATGCAGGCGAAGTTCACAGAAAAGCGCCCCAAACAGACAATCATCATTTCGACACAGAAGTCTTTATTCTCTGTTGTCTTTCGAGGTCTGCTCGGTTTGGTTCAGCTTCTGTTTTTACTGAGAAAAAACACAATGGCAGACAATAAAAAGTACAAACTATGAACAATTCCAGAAGCTTGTCAGTTCTCGACTGCTATTTTCAATACTGTATGGATGATTTACCAGTGACACACGTACAAACGCTTCTTCGGGTGGCAAACCAAACTTGTGGTTTGGGTACGGGGTACGCCTGTTTAATCAGGGTTATCGTTAAGTCGGGCGAATCGCTTGGTGACATACAACACAGAAGGAGACACAGTAAGGTTAGACAGAATTACCCTACTGATTGATGGCCCCTAACTTATGTTTCATCAGTTCGGATTACGATTTTGTATTGTCTTGTTACTTTCGTGTTGGAATAATTGGTGTGTGGATTTTAAAGGACTCCGCACAGCTTTTAACTCAGTCTTAAATATTCACTCCTGAAAACCGTCTATCCTTTCAAATCATGGCTTCACACTTCCCTAGACTTTATCCATCAAAATGAAAAAAGTCCTCATTTTCTTGTCATGATCTTCATGCCTTTGTTTTACACACACATACTGCTGTAAATCATACATTGTCGCAGGCATAGATATCAAAGCCTAGATGCCGCGCGACGGCGCCAGTGACGTGTCTAGCGGTCCGCCATCTTGGGAAGGTATTGTACAAGCTGTCAAGTTATTACCATGTACAAATTGATGTTCTACAGAATGCGTGCCTTATCCGATTTACCTTTGTATGATAGGGCCTATTTACTTTGACTTATAAACATATATATATAGTTCTAAGTAGTAGATGTCATTGTAACAGGCAGTGTTTCAAGTAATGATGAAAGGGGTTTTTGAAACACTATCATGAAGTATTTGAGCAGCTATACTAAGAGATAGTCATTCGCCTGATGTAAGGAGTAGTTTTTTATTTTGCTGTAACATGCTGTTGCGCACTGACGTGTACAAAGTAGTGTGATTGATTACAGTTACCTTTTGTGTTTGACAGTAGTTTCATTTTGGTCACAAAATAAGCAACTAGCATATAACATGTACAATACATAGTTATCTTGGGCTTATCAGTGATGAATACAAAACATGTAGACAGAAGACATGATTTGTTGACTGGTTTATGGTATCAGTGCTGCATATGTAGAAAGTGTATACTTTGCATTTGACTGGTGCAACATGGGACTTAAGATAAAGTAGTTTGCACTTCAAGCAAGGTCACACTGTACTTGTTTTCAATATTGTCATAAATGATGTGATTGTTGCTGCATCAATTTTTCAAACAGTTATTGGATTATAGGTTTACCTTCTCTGCACATGTCTGTGAATGTTCAATGTGAAGGCAAACAACATACTGCACTTCATTAGAATCGCCTGTACAGAGCAGGAGCCCACAGGGGTCAGCCTAGCTGGAAAGGTAACAAAATTTTTTTGTGCAAAGCAAGGATCTATATACTTGGGCAAACAAAGAAATGAAAGTCTGCCGGTCCCCTGCTGGTGGGTGTGGTCCTCAGGGGCAGGATAATACATGGAAAATTTGAGCTAGCTTAGCTTTCATGAGTAACAAAGAAAAACAACTCAATATGTAATAAGCGTGATAAAGTGTATTAGAAATGACCAATGACAGAATTTTTTCGTAGTGGGGTACCCCTGCCAGAGCTCAAAAAAGGGCCCCAAAAAATCATGTTTGCTCAGCTCATGGGGTAACAACTTAAAACTAGCCTCAAATTTATCAGTAGGGCCCACTTTATCAGAAATGACCACTGACAGACAGTTTCAGTGGTGGGGGGTCCGAGCCAGACACCACGCCCTACAGCCAAGCTAGGCTCTCAGCTCATAGGGTAACAATTCAAGGATCAACTAAAGTGAACCATTATTTTGGAATTTTTTGGAAAGTGGCAGAAATAAATTTATTCAGTCAGTTTGGCCAAAGTACACAAATTCAGTCCAAATTAAGTAAACCATTCATGTCTGTTTTGTTATAGACCCAGTTTGAATGTATACTGGTTGCTCACATCTGTCAGTTTGGCTACACCGGCATGCCTGATTTCGGGATTTTTCCAAAATAGCGATTTACTTTAGTTTATCCTTAAAACCAACTTCCTATTTATCAGAAGGGCCCATTTTTTTCAGAGATAAGCAGTGACCTTCTCAACAGAGGACGAGGGAATGGCAATCGTCAGTTATCTTCCAATTTTAATAGGAATTATGTTA